TTGCACAGACAAAGAGAAGGCAAAAAAATACAATAAGAGGAAAAATCCATTTAGAATACTTGTTTTAGCATCAGTGACATAACATCCAGAAAAACAAGAAATAAAATTTCCATGGTATGCATGACCAAAAATACATGTCAAATTTGCAAGTGCGGGCACTGTTTATGGTATTCCAAATTTGCTCAATCATTAAACTTACCACATTTGCTCTTGCTCCTGAAACACCAGATACATCAAAAGCACTCATAGTGTTAACATTTGGGAATACATGTCAAATTTGCAAGTGCGGGCACTGTTTATGGTATTCCAAATTTGCTCAATCATTAAACTTACCACATTTGCTCTTGCTCCTGAAACACCAGATACATCAAAAGCACTCATAGTGTTAACATTTGGGCACCGTGTTCCAGGAGTCCAGAGCCCACAGACCATATGAACCCACTGTTTTACAGAAGGATCAATTACTCCTGCTGTTACACTATTGTATACATTTAGCTTGCTAACAGAGCAAGAGGAATTTTCAATAATGTTTAAACCATTCTGCACGTCCTTTTCCCACAAAGCAGTTCTCAATAGCCCACGATCTTTACATTGCAAGTTACATAACTCATTACCAACAACTAGACTCTGATAATCCACCATAGTTTCAGCAGAGCTTGGGACTCTAGGCTGACACTCTGCTTCAGTCTTCCAAGCTTTTAGAAGGCCTTTTACAAATGCATGACTTTGTAATGCCCGAGTCATGGCACCACCACCATATCCACAGAGAACACACACCTAAATGATAATAAACAGTTACAATGACAATCATAACCATGAGAAACATGGAACAAAAAGAATGTCATAAAATTATGCACATAAAAAATGCAACATTAAAACTCGAAGAAAGATTAGCAATCAATCCAAGGGTTGAAACTGAAGTGTAAAAGACTCATACGTTAAAGAGTCAAAATTTCTTACAACATCTTTAGAACTTGTTTTGCATGGTCTGCAATACCAGTAGCCCTTCGGGACTTTTGAAACACCATAGCAAGCTTGATGCACCTGTGTCTCATGAAAACAGAATCAGAGAATGATAATCAACAAATGAGGGACAAACCTGAGATAGTAAAGTACCCTGATTGAACATTGACTGCACTCCAATAGGCAATTAAATTCATCTTTGTTTGACCTTCCACAAACACAGCAGAATTCATCTGAATCAACACTGGATGAGCACCTAAGATCTTCAATAGCTCTGTAACATAATTTATAATAACACTGCAGTTAGCTATAATCTAATTCTAGTCAATTTTGAGGTTGTACAAGCATCTATCAAAATTTTGTGAAATTATCCATAGGAATCAAGAATCAATTCACACAAGCTTACTTTCAGCTTTATTGCATGATATATGTCCATGATATTCAACATCACCAGTTTCCTTTAAATCTTTCCCCACTTTCATCTGAGACATGGACTTTGAGATCTCCATAGGATGATAACTGTCAGAACCAGAATCTTCTCCTGCTAATCAAAGGGGGGAAATAAAACCAGACTCATTGTAGCACGACTTGCAGCATATCCAAAATTATTCACTTAAATGCTGAACAGAGATTCTATGATGCTTCTTTCTCATCAAATGCTCTAAGAAGATCTACCACTAACAGCATATGCAAATTTTATTAAGCACACCAAATATGACATACAACATGTAATGGATGGTGCAGCTCATCACTTCATCAGATGAGAGAGACATGAGCCATAGCCTCTCCAGCTAGAAGTTCAAATTTTAAGGGATTTCCATGAATTGCAACTGTTAAGAATGATAGGAAATGACTCCTACTGCAGTGTCCACAAAAAAGGGGGAGGGAAGGTTTGCTCAAATTTCTTTGAAAAGATGATAGACATGGAAATGATATCCACTGTGAAAAAGCAAGGAGAAAAGGATAAGAGAGGACAGGATAATCCAGGTATTTTATAATTCCATCAAAACCATATATATAAGATTTTTGCAACCTGAATCTACGTTAAAATACACAAATAAGAGTTGAAAATTGCTAAATCACTACAAGTGTAACAGTAGTAAATGTATGCTGGAAGCAGTGTTCTGGGCATACAGTGCAACATAAACTTATTATTTCTAGCTGAAAGTTTTGCTTTCCCTAAAATGCCATGCATTGAAAAGGTAATGCTAGTGAAGTCCATACCCTAAACCCTAAACCCTTTATTAACAACCATGATGCCCTTTCCACCAAAATACAAGAATAAATATATTATTGGGATTCAACCAATGAAATAAATATTAAAATTTACCTTTTCTGGTTAGCTCATAAAGGCTACGTTTGCGAATTTCTTTGAATCTTGCATTTGAACGATTATAAGTGATAGAATCTGAAATACATCTTTCTCACTTCTATCAGCATTTCCTTTCTCCATGATGAAAGGCTTGTTATGGGATTGTTTAATTCCTCCCAGACATGTCTTATTGCCTCCTTCAACAAGACAACTATCTAATTCATGAAAGAATAAACATGAGGGTCTATTTTTGTCCTCTTTTTTCAAATCAGAAGATAAATCCAAGTATGCTGGGCTGCCAGCTGTTATTTTCTTCGACTTCCTCCGAGACCTTTTGGGGTTACAGCTCTTTGGAAGGTTAGATTCCATGTTTTTGATAACCCTGCTAAGAGGAACAATTTTTGCAGGCTTTAGTTTATCTGTGGCTGACTTGCAATTGCATATTTCACCATATTCTCCACATACGATGGGTCTAGCTTTTTCATCACAAGCAGTCACCTCAAGATTTGAAAACACTTTATGCAATGTACAGAATTGCTCTTAGAAGTCTTTTCAACAGTTCTAAAAGGCTTTGGTGACCCTAAATTATCAAAAGAATCATAGGCCAAAGCCCTTCTCAACTTTTTTCTATCTGAAACTTCAAGGATATTGCCAACCCTGTCATCACCTTTTGGTTCAACCAGATAATCTTCACAATCCTGGTCATTATACACATCACACAGATCTCTTTTCCGAAAAACAATTTTAGCCGAAGCCAACTCTCCTGGTTGAATCAAATGAGTAGAACCATGTGAATCTAAACCAGAAGGAATGAGGCCACGCTGATCTTTGAAACAAGAGAGCATGTCACGACTGTCATTATCTTTGAGACAATGTTGAAAGGAAACTTTAGAAGGAAAGTATCTATCCAGCATCCTAAATTTAACTGCTCTCTTTCTCTTGCCACCTTTCAAGCTTCTCCTACTTTTTTTCAAATGACTGATCCTCTCACCACCAGTATGGCTCATATAACTTTGATTTTGACCTTTTTTCCACATCAATGAATCTATGAGTTTAAGCTCATCAAGCAGACTACGAGATGACTTCGGAATTCTGGAGGAATTGTTATTCCTTACCTTATTCCTCAAAGGAGCACCAAGAAACTCGGCACTTCTTTCACTTTCAAGGGCATCATTTGATGAACAGCATTTATCAATACCAGATCCCTGATCAACTACAAGACCATGTCTATATTCATTATCCCCAGCTTCAATGGTAGAAGATTCCATATTGTTAACCTCAGTCGATGCCTGGGTGACAGCAGGACCAGAACATCCGGAAGAAACATTTGACATGCCCTGACATTTAGGCGAGTCAGCTCTGTTTACGGCATGCATGCTTGCAGCAGTTCCAAGCTGATCTTTTGCACATCCAATAGCATCAGCTGATGAATTAATGTGTGCCACTTTACGAAACTCCTTTTGCTTGCTTGGAACATCTCTCCACTGAGAGGCATGAGACAACTCTCGTAGGAAGTTGTCCATTCACTTTTCCTACTGGATCTAGTATAGTTCTTTCATTCGGAATAAGATGGTCTTTAATAAATTCAGAAGCAGCTGGAATAGCTGCTTCACAACATACAACTGCTTGTTCTTTAGAGGCAACATGAGATCCTTCAAACCTACACTTGGAATATCCTTCTAAGCACTTTGCATGGGCTGAGCAGACGCAATCACCCCGAGTATAAATGCAAGGTACTCTCTGGCAGCATTTTGAATGCCCACTCGAATGTATGATGCTCTCACCTCTGATAAGCCTAAAATATTGAATAATAAAATTAAAACAAGGGAGGATAGCATCCAGAGCAAATTTCACCACTCAGACCAGTGTTGCAATACACACCTAAGTACCTAACCAACTAGCATGTACTAAATATGATATAAAGTTTAAATGTAAGATGTTGCATGCAGCCTGTTAGGAACAAAAACGACTGGGTAAGGGATATGAAAACTCGTTAGTCATTAATTAAACTTGAAAGCTTCAAGTTACTGCAAATTTCACATAATCATCTAGCATTTGAAAGACTAACCTCAATGTAGACTGATCACCAAAATGGTCATTAGGGAATTGACATGGAGATTGAAGAAGACCTTGTGTCAATCTTGAGAAATCGCAGCAACTGTTTAACCCTGGATGATGAAGACCAAACATATTAAAAATATATAAACTAGAGAAAACCAGGAAACATGTGCAAGTCACAAGCAAAATTTTCACATTATCACTTGCCTGTCATGGAGATTGATTTCTCAACACCTGATGGAAATGACAGTGAAGCAACTTCAAAAGCATCTTGCCTGCAGGGAATAATAGATCCATGCTTTCCTTCTCTAGAATTTGGTAATCCAAGAAGAGATTGCTGCACATTCGGATTAGAAGTTCTATCCAATTTCCCTAGCTCGCTCATTCCAATTGAAGAAATTGCATGTGCTTTGACAACTCAGAAATCTGCCTCAACGCAAGCTGTCCCATACCATCATCAAGCAAAACAAGGGCCCTCTTGTTTTGAGGAGGTAGAAGTTGAACCTGGTATTGAAGTTGAAGTAGCAGAAGATTGTGAAATATGTCGAGAGCCCAAATATGAACTCATTGTAAGAAAAGCTTGTCAGTATGTGCATTATTTTCCGTCAAAGTAGAGTTCCCAGGAAGGTTCAGACAGCTTCTCTCATCAAATCTACCAGGAGGATTATTAGACGATTGACAGGCATGTCGAGCACTGCAGAAAATCCAGGCACCACACCAGTGACATTCCTAGAACTTTCCACCTCCTTATGGATTCTAAATGCGGATCTATTGCATCAGAAAAGCCAACAGGAACACATCCCAATCCTGCAACTTTTCCTTTTTCTGTTAATCTGCAGAAACCTAACTCAGGCATATTCAACTGCCTCCCTGAACAATTTCCAGTTTTCATGGGAGCATTTAGTGGGTCAAACTTGGTAGTATTAGATCCACAATGAAATATCTTTGGCGTACTACATTCACTGACCATATTATTAGTACCTTTAGAGCATGCACTCCCTTCCAGCGGGAGCTCTGGAAATAAGGGAACTACTACACTTTTGGTGACATCACCTCTGCTTTCTGGTTTGGTAGCATCCACAAGACTGCTGGCAGCAAACACATGGTTACCAAAGTCCAATAGGCTTTGTGGTTTTCTTGTAGTGGTTATAAGAGTCTGCAGCCTGATGACAATATTGCCTAGATTCTTCCTCCCCGCAAAACGTAGCTGCAATGTTTCAGCATCAATCATAATATGATTACTTAGCCATGATACAAAAACCTTAAATGATACAAAAAAGATAACCTATAACATGCATCCTATGAAAAATGAGCAGAGAGATCTACCCACCACGACCAACCATCTTCTCAGAATAGCATGACTTAGAAGGATTAATACCCGTGTCAAAATGTTGGGTATAACTGGTAAAGCATAGTTTCCTATAACTGACTTGGCTGATATGGTTGTCCAAGCTTTAACTCCACATTTGAGGAAGCGGCGTCTGTCAGAAATTACATCATCTGTGATTCTAGATGCACTTGCATCATAATTCCGGCCCAAGGTTCTTAAATTTTGCAAACTAGAGTGGGTAAGAGATGAGTTTCCAGTCTTCAATATAGAATCAATCCAGGCAGACATGGACTGACAACCATTATCTGAATCCCTATCACCAGAAGTTGACATTGCTGAACTCTTACAGAAAGCAGACTCCATTATCTGGCCATCAGCAACATCGTGCAAATTGCTTCGGGAAGCACCAAAAATGTGCTTGAGAAGAAAGTTATATTACCCTCATTCTTTCGCTCTTGTTTGTTAGGCAAGAGACCAGTGGCAGAATTTTTACTCAGAAACATGGAATTGTCCATGCACCTTGACAAACCTTGAGATGAACTAACCAGATTAGCCACATGAGAAGTACTAGATATTTCAGCATGGCTGCACTGGATTTCACCAAATCAGTAGTTGGATTAGTCCTTCAGGCCAGTCCCATCCACTATGATCTTCCGGAACCCTGATCTAAAGCATCAGAAAAACATCACCATCCAGTGTTCTCGTTGCTTCAAACACATGCCAATAAGAAATACAGTTTTCAATCCAAAAGGTTAGGAATAGGGAAATGATAATATATTGTTAGAATAGTGGTAGTAAGGTCTATAATACCATTGCAATAAGAAACCTGGTATGAGTTTGCTTTTATGTGCCCCCACCCCAACACCGACCCCCACAACCCCCCCCCCCAACAAAAAAAACCCTCCCTGAAGCATTTGACTTTCACAATTAAATAACACAAAATTTACAGAAAAGTAGGAAAACAAACACATATAAAAGAGCTAACATAAACTATGGAGCATGACCCTCTTGGCCTAAGGGCCACACTTTCAAGAAGCTTGATTAATCATCTTCTAGAAGAAATATTGATTTACTACAGTAGTCATATTTCTTAAATATAAAATAATCCTCAAAGGAAGTTGACTATCTCAAATTCTAAATCACACACTATTGACATATGGAAACATATGCATAAGACATGCATATTTGTGATAATGAAGCAAAAGCTCAAGAGTTCATTTGAAGCAAACATTGGGTACAAGGGCAATGTAACTCCTACCCCAAACTTCTCAAAGCTGAGTTCCGCCATCGTGCAATGGTCTCTCCACTTTCCATGCGGACAGCATCTCCAGGGTTCATATCACATAATCCTGAATGCTGCAATATTACAGCAGTGGCAGCAAATTGTAAGCATGACCAACTCCAAATAGATAATGGCATAATGCAAACACATGTCTTAGGGATACAAAACAAGTAAACATAGCAAACATAAGCACGTTACCTCGCAAAATTTGGCGACAGTGTGAGAAAAATGACAGGAGCAAACGATACCAAGAAGTCCTGTATTGCTGAGAAGCAAATACCCACCTTTTCCATCAAAGTAAAAAAGAAAACATGTTAGGCCACATCCAATATGCACCACTATTAACTAAAAGCACGAATCACTTATCATGGACTCACCTGTACCCAAACAGAATACGCGAGGACACCAGAATACGCGAGGACACCACTTAAAATGGTTGATGGCTGATCAGATAGAGTAGAATTTGATTCCTCAATATTTTTGTTGATATCTGTACATTTTTGTTATGGGGATTCCCAACTTTTGCAGCGCCGGTACCGTACAAATCCCCTTCAGGGTAGCAAAGTCCATTACTTTTCAGTACCGGGAACCATGTGATGATTGACTACCTTGGCCAGATCTGATGTCTGAGGATTTAAGTTAGACACAAGACAGTTACCATGCAAAACTGAAACATCACTACTGCTAGAACTCAATACCAATCTAGATGGAACAGCAGAACAATTGCCTCATTTTCTGAGATTTGATTGCTCCGATTTTGGCAGTGATGTCCCATAGGTTCGTGAAACTTCACCTGCAAGATCACTGACATTTCTAGAGGCACTGAATACTTTTCGGCTTGACGGTTCCTGAAAATCACACTGTAAAGTGACGGTGGCCCAGATAGAAGAGCTAGAAATGAATTTGCCAGCTCAGCTTGATTTGACTTGTGGGAAATAAGTTTGTGTTGTTCGAACGCATGGGATCATGCAATCTTTCATGCAATGTTGAACTTAAATCTTCTGTAGCATGCTGGCGAAAATACTGGCCATAATTCATCTCCATCTGTATTTAGAAGTAATGATAATTACAAGAAAAGGTAGGTGTGAGGAAAGTATATCAAACTCAAAAGGCAAAAGAAACAACAAATGAATACGTTGACTTCATAAATAATGACTGAAACAGAAAATAGAATCAGGAATAACATTTACAATTTTGCACACCAGAAATTTTGAAGAAATAATACCCAGAAAAGGAAACTTGAATGCATGCATGTATCATTCCTTTCCAAGTATAAACAAGGATGATAGCAGCATTCATCGAGCAATTTTCCTACTCTACATTGTACAATCGTCCATGCAACATATCCCCCTCCCAACAAACTTGGATTCTAAGGGCATGATATCTACTTCACTCGACACTGGAATTTCAGACCACATGAATGATTATGGTCAAAATCCTCCTTTTGATTCCTATTAAAATAAAAAAAATATAGATCATCGGCTTCAATATCTTTGGTTGTGGCAAGGTGCTTGATAATATCCTGACACTTTTCCGCAGTGAAAACTAATGTACTAGCTAACAACTTTCACATACTCATCTGCACCGTTGATTCAATATATTGCCCTTCCGATATAATTATTTTTCCCTCCCCACCGATTTCCACACATAAGCAGAGCTCAGAAGTTGTTGCACAACCACCGCACGTTTCAAAGAATAATAAATTAAGCGCACTTCCATCAACGGCTCCTCACCTTAACTTTTAAAAAGATAAACATAGATAAAGGCGTAGATTACCTGATACCGAGGCTCCTGCGATGCCAATGAAGCCCTCGAAAGCATCGTTGACTGCAATGTGGATTCGAATTTGATCCGCCAGGGGTTATCCATCACTCAAAACTCTAGTAATCCTAACCCTTCTACATCAAGGAACCTAGAAGAAGCAAAAACACAGTAGCACGACTCGCAGCGGCGAAACACTGCAACGTCCCTTCACAACTCAGCTTTACAGCAAAGTGAACAGTAAAAAGCAACCGAAATTCACATGCATAATAAAGGAGGGGGCGAATAGAGTAGTATTATTAATGGAGAGCTCAGAAATTGAGATAAAAAAGAAAAGAGGCTTTACTTTACAGATAGAGAGAAACAGTGAGAGAGAGAGAGTGAAGAGTATCTGTGAAATGTATTCGTTCGAGACAAGGTTGACTGGACACTGACATAGTGACGCGTGTAACGCGTAAATGAATCTGGACTATTCGATTGGGGAGATGGGAGATTGTGGACCGTTGATGGAAAAAGAAAGAGGGAGTGGGATGGGCATGAGCGTGAAATTGGAGTGGGACCCCAATGTCTGAGCCAATGGGAAGGGAAAGAGGAAGGTGAGTGTGGGTCCCAGTTACAGGTGGTGTTTGGATGTGGAGTGGGGGTTATAATAATATTATTCCGGAATTAGCAAAGAACAGTGAGTAAACCCTTTATCCAATGTTTGAGGAGGGAATGGATGCCCACTTTTGCTGTTCTTTTATTTATTCTGTTTTGAGACCATTGATAGGCTTTTTTAAAACATTATGTTTCAGATGTTTTTTTATTTAATTAATTATAAAGTAATATATTTTAAATATTCTTAAATATTTAACAATGAAAGTTCAATCATCATGTTGTAGTTGTTGATGCTCGAATCTGTAACTTCTAGGAACAACAACAATTTTTTTAACCATTGAAATAAATTAATTCTTGTTAAACTCATTGATGTTGAATAAAAAAAATAATACATTATATTGTGCTTTATTTAAAAATAAATATTATTTTAAAATTATTTAAGAAAATTTTGGTGATGACCGTGAAGTGATAGAAATTTTTATAATTTTATTAGTTTCATCTTTTAATTTTATGTAATAGATTTTAGTTATTTACTTAAAAATTATATTAAAATATAAAATGATTGAAAATACTTATAATTTTAGGGTCTATTTGTTTCAGTGTAATTAGTTTTTCGAAAAATTTTCCTTATTTTTTAATATTTGGTTGGTGGAAAAAATAAAATCAATGTAATTCATTTCCTTGTCAATATAATTTCGTTTGCATTTTTCGAAAAATAATTTACGCTTTAATTTTGTAAATCATTTTCTAAACTTTTCACTTTAAAATAAAATCACTTAAAATAATATTTTTGTATTTATTATTAATATATTATTTTAGCATGATTTAAATAAAAATGTCAATTACTAAAATATATTACTAATAATTTAATAATATAATATATTTTAACGTCATAATAATATTAAATTATATTAATAATATATGTTATTTTATTTTATTAATATATAATAACTATTAATAAAATTAATTTTATTTATTAACTTCATAAAATAATATTATTACATTATTAAATATTTAAAATATTTATTTAATAATATTAAATTATTAAATATTTAAATATATTATTAATAATTTCCAAAATATAATTTAATATTTTAATTTTAATATTATATATTTTTTATTCTAATAATTATTATATAATTAATAATATAATATTTTTATTATAATAAATAATTAATCATATTTATTATTTTAGTAAAATATAATAGTCTTAATATTTTTATTCTATAAAATTATAAAAAAATATTTTAATAACAATATTGACATATATTTTTTTATTAAGCTAAGGTGATTAAAAGTAGTATATGTTCTAAATACTCTCAATTATTAACAATGAACGTCCAATCACCATCCTGCAACTGGTGCTTGAACTCATGACATATAAGAACAACAATTTCTTTAACCATTGAGGTAAATTGATTCGTGCAATAATATTAACATAATATATAATAATTATTATTATTTAAAACTAATATATTTATTTATTTTTAATTAATAATATTATTATTGTATTCGATGTTTATAATAAATAATTTTTAAAAAGTTATCAGTCAATGAAAAATGATTTACATAATATCATAACACCGTAAAATGATTTTAGAATTTTTTTTTTCATAAATGTAATTCATTTTATGGAAATAATTTTTCGGAATATGTTTTTCGTGAAACAACATAACCTTATTTAAAGGTTTGAAATACATTCTATAGATTCAATCGAAGTTGCCGTATAAATTTTTAAACTATATTTAAACATTAAAAATTAATATCTAAATAAATGTGTTCATGGCAAAGTTGATGGTTTGATTTCAAGCTTTTGATGTTCCGACTCCGTTGGGCATTATGTGTTTATACATACAATTAGACCAATTGGTCAAACTTCGTCAATAATTATAGGTATTGTAATCTGCAATTTAAAGGCAAGTATCGGCCAAAGACGTTATTTGTAAAGGAAGTGGGCTGTGTTGAGAGTAGTTTTGCACATTGACAGTTTATTTTGAGATTTCATGACATTTTTACATATCGGAGATGCTTAAAAAAGATAAATTATATGAGGTTAAAACTACAATCAGAATTTGAAAAGAGTCTTAACAAAATCGGTTTAGTGCGACTGGAAATATTGATTTGCATGCAATATTATGTGCAACTATTTTAATTATTTTAAAATGGAATAACCGATAAACTTATATTAACGGTAAGTATCGATACTTAGGTAAAAGTATCAATACTAATGGACATGATTGTTTATATTATTAAAACCTATTAAAATTCGGTCGGGATAGTAACGTAAAAGGTTGTGCATTGATTTATTTTTTAACTGGTTAAGTTATAAGACTTTAACTGTTTATATTATAATAATCTATAACAAATCCAATTTCAGTGGTAAGTAATAGATTGCGCCTTGATTTTATTTTGAATCGATTAAGTTATAAGGCTTTAACCGTTTATATTAACCTATGACAAATACAGTTTCGATGGTAACGTAATAGGTTGCGCCTTTATTTTATTTTTGAATTGGTTAGTTATAAGACTTTAATTGTTATATTATAATCCTATGACAAATATGGTTTCAGTGATAATGTAATAGGTTGCACCTGATTTTATTTTGAACTAGTTAAGTTATAAGACTTTAATCGTTATATTATAATAACCTATAACAAATCCAGTTTCGATGGTAACGTAATAAGTGTGCCTTGATTTTATTTTTAAACTGGTTAAGTTATAAGGCTTTAATCGTTTATATTATAATAACCTATAACAAATCCGTTTATATGTAATATATTAGGTTATAACTATTACTTAAATATTGATACTTTACATAAATATCGATACTATCGAATTTTAAAAAACATGGAAATGGGAAGACTGGAACGTAGCAAACTTTTACAAAAATATTG